TATCTCCTCACATAGATTGGCGTGCTTGTTTGTTTGTATCCATCATTTCAATTGATATACAGTGGTAAATAAACTATTGTATAACTATTTGATTCCTTTGGTGATTGGAGGAGACAGAAAATGGCATGCGATGTGTATGTCATGAATTAAACAATTGGAGTTGGTTCTTTTTGGAGCTTTTTCAGGTTTCGTATATTTTCAAGAGTCCTGAAGTTTCAGACATTGTGATTTTCAAGGCTCCTTCATTTCTTCAGGTAATTTTGGAATAGTTCATTGGATTAAAGGAAAGTAGTAAATCATGTTTTCGTATTCAATAATGGAGCTAACCCATTAGTTGTTGTTTTCTCTTGGCTAGGAATTTGGATTTAGCTCATCCGAGGTGTTCATCAAAAGAGTAGTAGCAAAAGCTGGCGATTGTGTTGAAGTAAGAAACGTTTAGTACTTTTAGAATTTACGGTTGCCTCATCTTTTCCAATCATGTAGTCTAATTGTTATGCAATGGGCAGGTTCGTAGTGGAAAATTGATGGTCAATGATGTAGCTCGAGATGAGGATTTCATCTTGGAGCCAATTAAGTATGAAATGGACCGGACGGTAAACTATTCAGCTTAATTTTGGAGTACTTAAATTGATTCTGCTCTGAGTTCATAATTTGAAGAAAGTTTATGGTTTTTATTCTTATGTAGTTTATACCAGAGGACTGTGTGTTTGTGCTGGGAGACAACCGGAACAACAGTTTTGACTCTCACAACTGGTAGTTAATAAACTGCACTATAATAAATCCTTGCAAGCATTTAACAATTTAACTATTGCTTTCTGTTCTGATGATCAATCTTTTATGTGTAGTACTCACTTGTGTTTAATGTGGACTTCCGCATAAAAAACTTGGGTTAATTAGAAAAGGTTTGCATGAGATCTAGTCTAATGGCGAGAACAACCAAGCTATTCTTCAAAATATTTTTCGGTGTTTGTATCTACTGACCAATTGCATCCTCTTTTTGAAAAATACCAATCTAAAGGTGCGTTGTATTTGTGATACATATATGGGGTTATTCATAAACTGGAAGATAGTTGTGTTTTGTTGTTAGTAGTTCACTCAAGGTAGTCTTCGAATTAATGAGAAAATATTTCATAATAAACATAAATTGGAAAGTAGAAGCATAGAAAGTTCTAGAACTGTTTGATTCAGATTGATAACCTTCTACAGGGGCCCGCTGCCTGTCGAGAACATCGTTGGTAGATCTCTCTTCCGCTACTGGCCTCCATCAAAAGAATCCGACAGTCTCCAAAATCAGCCCCAGCAGTGGGGTTCTGTTGCATTTTCGTGAAAACCCTCCACAACAAACTTTTTTCACCAATTTCTGATTTTTCTCAAAAAAATCATACTCGAGCCAATTCAGGCTTATCCGGGCACCTGCTGAATGCCAATCATATTATATTGACTGCTGCAAGTATGCTATCTGGTTGGTTTTCATATCTCCCCCTCAGAATCACTCAACTTTCTTATGTGGATCCAATCCCAATCCAATATGGTACTTGATTTGTTTTGCTGCTACTCTGTGATTTTCAAACACCCATGAGACACGATGAAGGTGCCGACTGAACTCTGGAGTTTTTTGGTTGAAGGTGGAGCTTGGACTGGTGTTTTTTACAATAAGGATATGTGTTCGGCAGGGATACAATTGTGGCGCGATTGGCTGGAGACTCTGGAGTTTAATTTCCCGGCATCCAAGATTGGTTGATGTTTGGTGGGATTGCTTATTAGTTTATTATTTTGGGGGCTGATTTTGTGTTATGGATGGTTTAGGACGTATGAATATAGATCCGTGCATGTACCATATATACTTGTTCTGGAAATAAATTAATACTATCAGTTACTTTATTGGTTCTGTAAAGTCGCTTTTATTTTTCTGGTTGTAGAAAAAGTTCTATTGTTTAACGATTATGACTTTAACATAACTTGAAACTTTTAATATGTTGATTAATTACCTCCGCTAATTAGGCTTGGCCGCGGCCCGAACCGGCCCGCGACCCATACCGGGAACCGATCCCAAACTGGCCCGTAATCGGCCACATACGTGCCGGTCCGTTGGACCGAATCGTCCAGGTTCATTGTTTTTTGTTTGCCCCGGCGGTCCGGTCCGGGCCGTGTCAGGTCGTGGGCCGACCGCCGGCAACGATTTTTTAATTTATTTATTTTTATTAATATTTAATTCACCGGGTCGGGCCGACCCGGCCCGGACCGGACCGGACCGACCCAACCCGGCGTCAGAATCCTGCAGGCTGCCCATACCGCATATATTCGTTAGACCCGGTTGGACCACGGTTTGGGCCGGTCCACGGGCCCAACCGTAAAAAGAAAAAAATTAAAATCTGGCTGTTGGATCGGAAATGACCGTTGGTATTCAACGGCCCAAAATTGCCACCCGCCGGTACTGACCGCGACCCGGTGGGTACACGAAAAAAAATAAAAATTAAAAAATCTGAAAAAATTAAAAAATTCAAAAAAATTTTTTTTAAAAAAAATTAAATTCCATTNCATTTTTCACACCAAAATCTCATTCTCTCTTCTCTCTATTCTCTACTCTCTAGTCTCTTACTCTAAATTCTTCTCGCTCGGTTTTTAGTGATCGATTTTTAGTTTTGTGTTCAGTTTCCAAAAAAAAAAATCCGAGAAAAGAAATCTGAAAATTAAAAAATTCGAAAAAGAAAAAAAATACTACATCTCCCCATTTATTTTTATTTCATCATATTCTATATAATTTTCCCCAATTTATTTTTTATTCTTTAAATTATAAAATGTCGAGCTCTCGTGGTGGTCGTGGTTCGAATTCCGGACAGAAACGTAGAAATATCGGCACCGGCACGTCTTCGTCGAGACCTCCATTGCCGGAATTTGCGAGTCCATCGATACATGTGGATATTCCCAGTGTCGCCGATGACATTGATGAGGCGACGATCGAGCGCATGTTTGGCTCAATTCAGCCTGAGCAACAAAAGCAGCAGCAGCCGTATCACGACCATTTCGATGATATATTTGGAGCGTCACCGCCAGAGGTTCAGCAACCGACGCAGCAACAGCAGCCGGACGGCCCGGACCCGGACCCGGCCTCTGTCTTCACCCCTGGCAGACCGTCATCTGCCATGTTCAAAAAACATTACACGAAGGAGGCCAATCCATAAAGTGGTGAGAATCACTTTTATGCTGTTTGCAACTACTGCCCGATCAACAAGAAGAAGAGGTACCATTTCAAAAAAGGGATCATTGAAACGACACTTAGAGAGGAATCATCCGACAAAATTGGGAATTGACAAGGCATAGACGCAATTTCCGAGTAGTAGCGCTGCATCTGCCATGATTGGTACAGGTACGCCATCTTTATTTCAGTACTCACATGAAAATCATCGACACCATTTAGCTGAATTTTTTTCTGCTTCATCTCTTCCGTTTAGCTTTGGTGATAGTGATTTGTATGAACATTTTGCTCAATGGCTTTGAATCCGGCTGCCCACCAGGTTCCACGTACTACTCTTACTCGCGATATTCGAAAAATAGTGGCGGAAAAAAAAAGTAATTTTGCAAGAAACTTTTAAATCTTTAAATCATAGAGTATCCATTTGTGCTGATATCTGGTCTGATCATTGGCAAAATAACTTCTATTTGGGAATTACTTGTCATTGGATAGATGAAAATTGGAGTTTACAAAAACGTTTAATTGCTTATGTTGCATTTCATGAACGACACACTGCTTCTAATATTGCTCGTTTAATTTAAAAATTTTTGGATAAATATCAAATAGGTAAAAAAGTGTTCCATTTAGTTTGATAATGCTACTGCAAATACTGCATCTATACGTGAACTTACCGATATTTTCACTCCAATTTGCGGCGGAAGATTTTTTCATATTCGTTGTATATGCCATGTCTTAAATCTCTGTGTAAAAGCTGGTTATCATGCTTTTAAAGATTCGGTCACGCCAATTAGGGAAGCTGTTAATTATTTACATAAACGTCGCCATGAAATGAAAGCATGGGGACGATTTTGTAAAGATCAAGGGGTGAAACCTAAAAAATTTCAACCCGACGTTCCTAACCGGTGGAACTCAACATATAAAATGTTGAGTAACACGGTTCCGTTTATGACACAATTGCAGAATTTTTTTAACTATGCAAACCGTAAGGATTGTGATGTCTGAGTGTCAACAAGAGATTGGGAGAACTGTAATGCACTTATTCAATTTTTAGAAACATTTCAAAACACTACTAACATGCTTTTAGGTGTTTATTATCCTATTGCTCAGATTGTGTTAAGTCAAGCTATAGCCGTAATGTGGGCTTTCAAGGATCTTTACGACTTGAATTTTCATAAATATGGCTACTTAGTTGAAGAAATGTTAAAGAGATGGTTACAATATTATTATTTCATTCCTGATACACATTTAGTTGGATCTTTGTTAGATCCTTCGGTACGTGAAGCTCGCTTGTTAGAGCAGCTTAACATGTACTATAATTATATGTATGAACTCCCAATCCCGACTGATGTCCCGACATACAGTAAAAAACCTAACGTACAGCTGCTCGTCGAGCAAGCACAAAATTTGTTGTATGACATGTTTAGGGAAACAGCGATCGCATAAGGAGAACCTCCCAGCACATTTGTGCGTGGCAGCGGGGGCAGCAGCAGCGGGTCTTCTTCTTACGGCAGTAGTCAAGTAGGCGCTTCGAACTATAAGGAGTGGTGGGCATCATTAAATCCCTACAAGAATGCTGGCGTTGAAAGGGCAAAGGGAACTGGATACTATGAGCTTGATCACTACCTAACGTCGAATTTGATACTTACGATTGCTCGTGAACCAAGTCCGCCACTCAATTTCGATGTCTTGGACTGGTTGTCGAGAATGCAAGGCATATATCATATTCCTTTCCTGATGGCCAAAGAGATTTTCGTCGTCCCAGCATCTACAGTTGCGGTCGAACAAGCCTTCAGCGAGGGAGGTTATATGCTCGACGCACGATGATCGCGGTTGACACCCGAAAATCTACAAGCACAAATGCTGCTGATGGATTGGAAGAAGGCCATACGAAGGATGCAAACGACTATGTACGTAGATGAAGAAGCGGACGACGACAACGACACATCCGATTTTACAAGTACGACGAGTGGTAGAACCGGAACAGCAGATGAGGAGTACGACTATTAGAGACAACCACTTGTGTACAGGTAAGTAAATCGAAAGAACTACGTGGACTTTGATTCCCAATATAAGGGATACGTAGGCAACTTAATTGACATTTATAAGTTAAAATATCAATTGTTTTCCAAAACAAAAAAAAAAAAAGTTCAAGTTATATGATATTTTAACTTAATAAATATCAATTAAGCTCAAGTCTATTTTTTTATTTTTTATTTTTATATCAACTTTAAAATATCTTAACGTAACAAGAATTAATTTTCCTGTAGAAAACATTGTTCAGAAATTCAGACAATAGTATCATTATTCTAATTATGCCTCGACCATAGTCTCCATTGCTATATTGTAGCCGTATGAGAGAGTGCGACGCTGGTTCTAGAACAATGTTGACAAACATGATAATTGGAAATAATATTTTCCAGACTATTGAGTTTTTCTTCATGTTTGAACAGAAGCCATAAAGACATCATTTCTCGATGCACATATCCACTAGAATGTGTATCAAGAATCTGCTGAATATTTTGATCCAGAGATTCCTTACTCAAGCCATTCTTGATGAAAGTTATTTTATCTTCTCGATTATTTGACACAAAGCCCAGAGAAGTACAGCGAGAGTCACAGTTCCAGCGAGCACATTTATAGCAGCCGCCTATTCTTTTTGCTCTACGTTTCTTGGCAAAAGTGCTTTTACCCATACCTGACAGATACTTGTATGCATTGGGATACTCGCCAGGTACACGAACTTTTGCTTCAATCAGCCATCTTATATCATTTGGGATATTATTGAGCATGAGTGTTCTCAATCTTTCTACTCGAGCTCGATAAATTCTCTTTATGATATTAAGAGGGAGAAAAGAATAGAATTTTCAGATTTTTAGCAGTGCTAAATCCATTGGTGATTCGGACCATTGCTGAAGAAGATTGAAGGATTACCAAGTTGTTTTATAGAAGAAAGATGAGTATGAGATAAGTTTTCGGGTATGATTAAATTATACGAATGTCAGAAGATGCACAGCCAGTATGCATTTAATGCAATTGAAATCAGATGTGAGATGTCGGCAATAAGTGAGATGTTGCAACATTATGACAGTTGAATCATTAAAGGTAAATAAAGTTTACCTTAATGATTGGAATTATGTTATGACCACAGAATGATCAAATTATTCCACATTAGAACAGAAATTTCAACGAAGTTCTCGACTATAGTTAAGTCGGAGAAGTTGAAGTTAGAAAATATCAATAGTGATATTAACTAAAAGGTTTCTCGAAAGAGAAGCAAGTTTAGTATAGTAAGATGTTAGTATAGAATGGAGATGTGACTTGTTAATGATGACAAGTGACATCGACATTAAGGTACAATGCATATAGATGTTCCGCACCCGAAGGGCCCCGGGTAGTGGGTAAATCGTATGCAATGTATCGCATAGTCAGTCAGATAAGTATTTTATATCAACTCTTCTCTAAAGTTGTCCAGTGTGCATAAAGTTTTACGTAACAATGTACGTGAGTACATGTGCGATTCAGAGTATGTGCTTTTGCACAATGAGTTTCAGTAAGATTTAACCTACGAGGACCAGCCGATAGAAGTTTTGGACCAGAAGGTTCATTGGCTGAGGAATTGAGATATTTCCTCGTAAGTATAAAATGGAATCGCCACATAGCGTTAGATGGAACTGGGGAGTGAGAAGTTGATGTTAGCACTCGTTTTCCATATTTCGAGTTCTGAGATATATATACATAATTTGCAT